GGGGACACTAGGGATACAATGCAGGTGCTCATTGGAAAATGAGCTTACTGATTGATCCACTGACGAAATGTTTGATGGTTGATAATACCTTATTATCATATAGTGATACTATCATCTGATTGGTATATCTGGTTCTTAGACTTAAGACACTAAGAATGTCCTATATGAGTACTCCACTCTTTGATACCAGACTTATAGGTCTAGAAGTTTTAAATTTAGTACAACTAGTTATCGAGAGTTGTAGCTAACCTTGTGAGATCTATTGAGCGTCGATAAAGGATTATCCATTCTCGGTGTTATGAGATGAATATTCCATGTTTTCTTGCTTAAACAAATCCCTAGCTAGGGTCATTCAGATTGAGAGAGAGAGTTCTTTGAGAGAATCTAATTAGAGTGAGACTTGAGTAGAAACTATATGGGCCTAACAACACCATGCCAGTATATGATCTCTAGGATATTAGATGAATGAGAGACTATAGGTACATGATAATTAAGGATAAATATGTCTAATGGATTGGATTCTCCTATATCATCTAGGGATTGCGATATAGTGGCCTAGTACATTCGTAGTCGATGAGTCAAGTGAATTATTATGGAGAAATTGAGCTAGAAGGAATTATGACAAGTATGATTAATGACTAGCTCAATATTGGGCTTAGAGGTCACACACATATGGTAGGTGTTGCGATGAGTAGAGGTTCGGAGATGAGATATCTGTTGGAGCCCCTATCTTATTGGATATCCAATAAGTCCTGAATTATTAGATTCTATTGATGAGATCTAATAAGAGCCAATGAGAGATTATTGGATAAAGATCCACTAATCTAAGAGGCTTGGATAGTTGGATGAAGATCTGGTACCCAATATTGCAGGATCCATCAGAGTTAAGTTGACAAGGGGCCTCTATAAATAGGAGGGAACCAAAGGGTCATTGGCTAGGCCTTTTTGACTGCCACCTCCTATTCTCCTCTCCCTTTCACCTTCTTAGCCAACAGGGGTATGTAGAGATTTGGGCAGTGATTTGAGAAGCGTCTTCGCAACCCCTGCCATGTGGATCACTACTAAAGAGGAGGATAGTTGACCTACTTCATCCTCTCCCATAGATATGTAGAATTTTAGAGATATACGATCTCCCTAGGTAATACAACTATCTCATATATGATTTTTAATTTCGTGAGTTTTTGTGTATCAATTTTCGCATGATGATGAAACCTTTTTGTAGAAATCTAGGATTTTTTATTTTTTGTTCTTCAACTATGCATGTGGTGTCGCCCTTAGATTTTCCTATAAGAGTGAGTATGAAGGTTCTTTCCTAAGTCTGTTAAAATAAGAAAAATTATAACAAAAGTAGTTGATCTTCATCCATTGAAAAGAAGATTGATAGTGAAAGCTGGTAGCCTCAAGGGAAGAGGAATAAGGAATAGGCGTAAGTTAGGAAGATCGAACCATTGTAAATCGGTTTGTATTCCTTCTCTTGCTTTTGATTTGTTATTGCTTATCATTTACTTTCCTCGTAACCTTTACATGAATTTTTTGTTAATCACATTTCTAATAGAAACTTTAAAATTGGATAAAAAAATTGGATCGAACTTTAAAATTAAATAAAAAAATTATTATAGCACTAATTCACCCGCTCAGTTATTATGATCCTAACAGGTAATAGCATCGAAGACAACTTATTTCACCGATCCACGTAAAGTATCAAGTAAAAAATAGTAATAAAATTTATTATGTTAGTTAAATAAAATATCTAATACTAACTTATATAAATTGACGTTGATACAAAAATATCATTTATTTCAATCATGATATGCTACATGAATATTTGATGATCACTAATATGATTAAAGAAAATTGATTTCTCCAAAATGACTAATTGAATTAATTTATTTAAATCAATATAATACATAAAAATGAGAAGTAAAAAACAAATAAAATTAATATTGAAACTTACTGCATTCTTATGGATCACGATTGAAAACTATTTGATTTCTTTAATCCACAAAAATTGTATCATGTAAAAATACTAACAAAATTTATCTCTACCTTAATATGCTACAAGAATATTTTTAAAAAAAATAGCGTTTGAAGATAATAATATTTAATGATCACAAATAGAATGAAGATAATTATATTTCTCCAAATCAAATAATTCAATTAATTTAATTTAAATTAATACAATAAATAAAATAATAAGTGAAAATAAAGAAAATTTGTTTCGCAACTTATGGCCTCCTTCTTCATCATGACAAGGACTGAAAATAATTTGATTTCTTTAATCTGCAAATGAAGCATCCTTTAAAAAATAGTAATATAATTTATGATGTTAGTTAAATAAAATAATTAATACAAACTTATTATCAATTAAAATTGATAACAACAGATCATTTATCTCTATCTTTATATGCTACATGTATATTTAACAAAATAGATTATTTAATAAATATAATATTTGATTATCACAATTTGAATTGAGGATAATTTGATTTCTACAAGACAAGTAATTGAATTAATTTTATTTAAATCCTTATAATAAATAAAAAATGAATTAAAATTCAATAAAAATAATATTAAAACCTAGTACATTTTTGTTAATAATGAATAAGATTGAAGCCAATTTGATATCTTGGATCCACAAATAGAGTATTCTGTAAAACAGTAATAACAAAATTTTATGATATTAGATAAATAAAATAGTTATTACTAACTTATTTAAATTTAAAATTGATGACATGTGATTTACCTCAATCTTAGTAAGCTACATGAATATTTGATGATAACAAATACGATTGAAGACAATCTGATTTCCCAAGAACAAGTAATTGAATTTAAATCAATATCATTCATAAAATTTAGAATTTAAAATAAATAATATTAATATTAAAACTTACTAGATTCTCCTTGATCAAGAATAAGATTTATGTTAGTTAAAGCTTACTAACTTTTTTTAGTTAAAATATATAATAACATATCATTCATCTTTACCTTGATATTATGCTACATGAATATTTGATGACTACAATATTTGATGATCCCCAATAGAATTGAAGACAAATTGATTTCTCCAAAACAAGTAATTGAATTATTTTTTTTAATCAGTATAATTCATCAAAATTAAAAGTGACAATAAATAAAATTAATATTGAAACTCATTTCATTCTTTTTTTTTTATCAAAAATAGGATTAAAGAAAATTCGATTTATTCAGCCTACAAATGAAATATCTTGTAAAAAATAGTAACAAAATTTACGATATTAATTAAATAAAATAGCTAATACTAATTTACATGAATTAAATTTGATAATAACATGCCATTTATCTCTATCTTAATATGATGCATGAAAATCTGATGGCCACAAATAGGATTGAAAATAATTTGATTTCTTCAAAACAAGTAATTGAATTAGTTTCATTTAAATCAATAAAATACATAAAAATAAGAAGTGCAACTAAATAAAATTACTATTGAAGCTTATATGTTCTTCTTGATCATTAAAGGGATCCAAGATATTTTGAATTCTCCAATCCACCAATGGAGCATCCTATACTATTGAAAATAGTAATAAAATTTATGATGTTAGTTAAACAAAATAACTAATACTAACTTATCTGAATTAAAATTGATAAAAACATATCATTTATTTATATCCTAATATGCTACATGAATATTAAACAAAAAATAATATTTGATAAACATTAATAGGGTGGAAGATAATTTGATTTATCCAACATAAGAATTGAATTAATTTAATTTAATTCAATATAATATATAAAAATAAATAAAATTAATATTGAAACATACTCTATTCTTGTTGATCATGATTGACAATTGATTTCTCCAATCTACAAACGAAGCATCTCTCTTCTTTGTTGATCTATTATAACACCAGCCACAGTAGGCTACAGACATGTCCTCCCTCCATGCGAGGGCCTCCGACAAGGTCAAGAGATGATGGCTGAAAACATGGAAAGAAGAATGCGCTTCGCTTGCAGCGCCAGTTGCATTCCATCGGCTCTCATCCAATCCATGCAATTTGTGTGGACGCCGCGCAATCACCCACCGCCAAATCTTCTCTGCTTCACAATTTTCTTTTTTTTTTATTTCTGAATCTTTATTATCCCGACAGTAATATTAATAATTTTCAGATAGATATTTATATTTTAATTAACAATGAAAAATGATAGTTAACTGATTAATTATAAAAAGATATACAATATTTTTGGGTTTTTGCAAGAATATATAATATAGAAAAACACCTTATTTTGAAGGAACCAAACGAATCAAACAAATAAGACTGGATCGGTAATTCAAGGTCATCCTCCAAGGAAGAAGAAGGAAGGAGACAGCGAGATTGGTTTTGGAGGAGAGGAAACGGTGTTTTTCTTTGGTTTACAGAAGAATACCATTTCCGCCTCCAACGTTTCTTCAGCTCTCCTCCTCTTCTGGTATTTAGATGTGCAGTATGCGCGTGTATTTGATACATTAGTTTACGTGAGAGGTGTGTTCTTCTCTTTGAATCCGTATCTTTATTCGACCTCCAACGCATGAAGAGACTCACTTCCTCCTCTTCTCCTGAGACAGGAGTTTACGCTACATTTATTTGAAGCCAGATCACACACACACAGGTTTGTCTGAAAAATCCCTACATTCTTCACTCGGCCTCCTCTCTCTTCCTCTTCTTCAAGAAAAGGTTAGCGGCAACGCCGGAGTGCCATTGTTGTTGAAGAAAAATTTTACTCGGCTAATGGTTAAATGCATCAGTCGCAACAATTAAGTATTCCCAACTACTAAGGTCAGGTTGATATCAGAGAAGCATCAGGGGTAAATGAAATGAATGATCGATAGGACTCTGAGGATCGTTCCTTTCTACCTAACCTCCCTAACCTTAACAGCTCCTTCTCGTCCTTTGTCTATTAATTTCTTTAAGGTGGCAAGTAATGCATGTGGTGTCGTGCATTTAGAGAGCTTTGGAATGATTTTTGTAGGGGGGAGGAGAGAGATGGGATCGATCAGCGGCGAAGAAATAGCGCCATGGGGGAAGGCAGAGGGTGTAGCAAAGGAGGAGAGGATACTGGTTTCGGTAAGGGTGAGGCCCCTGAACGCCAAAGAGATCGAGAAGAATGACCCCTCAGATTGGGAGTGCGTCAATGACACCACCATCATGTTCAAGAACAGCCTCCCCGAACGATCCGCATTTCCAACAGCTTATACATTCGGTGAGTCTTCTGCAATTATCGGGTTTTACTGCTCTTTAAGCCAATCTGATTACCTACCCATGTTTTTCCTAACCAAAGCATATTGATGAAAGTTCAGCACTCTTAAGGGAAATGTGTTGCGTAGACTAGTGAATGTGTATACTATTTTCTGTCTTCTACTTGTTTCGATGAAAGATTCATTTTAGTGAAGTTGAAATTGGTACATCAAGTGAGGAAATGATATTTGCAGATGGATCTTATCAAGGGTCTTCTCTTGGCAATAATTTCTTCTATCATGTGTGTTAGATCTCGTAAAAACCAAAGTTCTTCCCCTAGTTTATCAAACTGTGCGTATAATAATAAGCTCCATTCAGGAACAGGGGGAGATTGTGCTACAGTGACTTGAAGTGTTCTCATAGGAGAAAATAATATAAGCTTAGATTTTGCACCCCTCTGGTAAATTCAAAGAAAAATATCTTAGAAGGTGCAGGTCGATATGTCAACAAGTAAATTAGGATGCTCAAATATCATTTGTATTTGGTTGCATTACGAGCTATTTTCAATATTTTGCCATCCTCATTTCTCTACTGTTTGGAATTGATTAGACAAAGTGTTTGGGCATCAGAGCAACACAAGACATGTTTATGATGAAGGAGCCAAGGAAGTTGCTCTTTCTGTTGTCAATGGAATCAATGGTAAGTACCACATTCGATGAATTGTTTGTCTGTCTTTAAACAAGTTCACTGATCTATTTTTCTGAGTGTCCATCTCGGACTATCGTATATACAAGGAAAATACTGTAAACTAACAGTAGAATATATGAATTGCAGCAAGTATATTTGCCTACGGACAAACAAGTAGTGGAAAGACATACACGATGACTAGTATAACCGAGTATACCATGGAGGACATATATGACTACATAAAGAGGGTATCAACTGACTAATACCTGAGTTTTCTGATGCCATAGAGATCATTGTAGAGCTTCTCTCTTTCTAGCGTTTCTAGTATATTAATTCTTCCCTTTTGCAGCATGAGGAAAGAGAATTTGTTCTCAAGTTCTCAGCAATGGAGATATACAATGAAGCAGTGAGAGATCTCCTGAGCACTGATAGTTCCCCTCTTAGGCTTCTTGATGATCCAGAGGTATAGTAAGTAGGTGCACTTGTGAATGCTTAATCAAGTTGCTTCTCTTCTTATCTTGGGGTGAAACAACAAAGGTTTCTGGTTAACTTGCTACCATCCGTCTCAGAGAGGGACTGTGGTGGAAAAACTCACTGAGGAAACTCTGAGGGACCAGAGGCATCTCAAAGAACTTGTATTTACTTGTGCAGGTCTGATACTGAGATATGCTCCTCCATACGCTTACTATACGCTCAGTTATCTTTCTATATCTGCTTCGTTCAAAAGGAAGTTAATATATATGAATTTTTTGTCATAGCTCAACGACAGGTCGGGGAGACATCTCTCAATGAAATGAGCTCCCGATCTCATCAGATTCTGAGATTGGTTCGCCCTCTGCTCAGATCACTGAATGACTAAACTCTGCTAGTTGAACAGAATAATTAGAGATTTAATTTTAGCCTAATCGTCTATGACTGCAGACAATTGAGAGTAGTGCTCGTGAGTTCATGGGCAAAGACAGTTCAACTACTCTTTTAGCTGCTGTGGTATGTTCATTCTCTCATTGATCATCAATCTTCTTTTTCCTTACATATATGTATTCAAGTGACAATGGCACGATAGGAGGCTGAATTTTCATTTTCTCTGGACACAGAATTTTATTGATTTAGCAGGAAGTGAACGCGCATCTCAAGTTTCTTCTGCTAGTAATCGCCTAAAGGAAGGTTGTCACATTAACCGAAGTTTGCTTACCCTGGGAACTGTTATCCGCAAACTGAGGTTATTGAAATGCTTTCTTCCAAGTACTCGCTGTTCTCTGATGAACTTAACGTCCCACTTTCTCAATGAAAGATGAAATTCCCTCTCTCTCTCTC